ACTATTGTAATTGGTTTGACGGTTCTACTAATCTAACCGATTCATCAGATTTGATTCTTATAAAATTACATATACGTGTACATTATCAAAAAAAAAAATTACATATACGTGTGTAGCCGAGCTAACCCTAATGGCCGAATACTAGTATAATAATCCGACGAGGATGTCTGAATGGGCCGTGGGCCCGTATACCGCATCAAACGTAAAACCGGCCACCATCTCGTGAAAACTGTGAGTGTGAGATAAGAAGGAAGAAGAAGCGCGCAGCTGGGAGACGTTAAGCATTTTCTTTTCTCACACAACTTCCTTCCCTTCTCCGCTCCACCATTTTCCCATTCAATTCCATTTATATAGAACTCCTCTCTCTCTCTCTCTCTCTCTCTCTCTCTCTGTTCTCTGTATCAATCTTACCCATCCCCTTAGATTTCCGTAAAATCCTAACTGTTTCTTTCCGATCGTAATCTTGGTAATTACTTATTGGAGTTATAGATAAAGATCACGTCATCATGCGTTTCCACCAAGCCGCGGCAGCAGTCTGGGACGAGTCTGCCGGCGGCGGCGGCGGCGGCGGAGGAAATATCAGCCCGACGCCGCCGAAGCTCTCCCTGTTCTCGCTACCAGCGGGAGTGAAGGGTAGTAGTAGCGTCCGCCACTACTCTCCCGGCCCGACGCCGCCCACGCCGCCGATCAACCGGCTCGCCTCCGTGCCGTTCAAGTGGGAGGAGGCTCCCGGCAAGCCCCGGCCTCCTCGCCGCTTCGACCACCAACGCCACGTCACCGACCTGTCCAAATTTGTTACTCGGTGCTTGGAGCTGCCACCGAGGCTTGTCGTTTCGAATGTGCCGCCACCCGCGTGTTTAGGAGAAGACGAGGGACGACAATTGTCGGCGCCGAGGCGGTCGATGTCGTTTACGAGCGGGAGCGGGAGGTCGCCGCCGACGACGGGGAGACGGGTCGGGTTCGGGTCGAGCAGCAGGTGGGGGAATCTGGTGATGAGGATGACGTCATCGTCGATGGTGCGGAACAAGAAAGGTCAAAAAGTGTCCAACTTCGATTCAACGGAGATTATCGTCAGCAGCAGTACTTATTACGAGGATGATCAACGGAGTAGCCACGGCGAACGGAACGGGAAGATGACGAGGAGGATCAGGAGGCCACGGAGCTTGTTCAACTTGTCGGCAGCAAGCCGGCCACAGGCGTGCTTGGTAATTTCATCATTAAATTAAATTATTATTAAACTTTTTTTTTGTTCAGGTCAAGCTAGCTAGCAATTATATATAAACTTAACCATAGTTTAATTTGTTGTACTGTGCAGAATAGTATGTACAGGAGCTTCAAGAAGATAGTGATGGTTCTTCCAACTAGAAGGAGCTAATTGAAGAGTGAATTAAGTCGTCGTCGTCGTCATCGGGTGAGTGGAGGAGAGTATTAATGGAGTTGGTGGCTACCGGTCAATAATAATGCATTCTATAATACTAATGATGATGATATTTGTGACGGTCGAAAGTATAAAACCGTATGTTTCTGTGTAAAAGCCGATAATGTTGAAGTATGATATTGGATGAATTAATGGAGTTAGTAGGTAGGGTTTTATCTAGATGTACGTTGACATGAAACTGTTTGCGGGTGAAGGTGTTTGAGTTCAGCTTTGGGATTTTTGGTGTAAATTGAGTAATTACACGAGAATAACGGTATGTATTCATCTCGCGATCTATCCTGTATAGTCATGGTTGTTATTGTACGCATGCATGCAATATGTTCAGGTCATTCAACAAACAAAATTAATTATGTGTTACAAATTTGACCTGCTCCGAAACTAATAACTTATATAAATATATGAATATTATTAGGGATGGCAATTAGGACCCGTCCTGCCAGGTATTACCCGACCTGATCCGTGATGGGGCGGGTATTACCCGATCCATAGTAGCGTGGGGAGGGACATGGGTATCAACTTCCTACCCGACATGGCCCGTTCTAGGTCAATTTTTTTATGTCATCTATTCATATATATCATATTTTGGTTTTTCTTCAAACAGTTCGACTTGATCTTTCAACTAGATAGACTCAATTGCCCATTATATTATCACTATTATTCATTCATGATGTCTTTTCCCTTTGGTTTTATCGTAAAAAGTAAAATTTTGATGTATTTTTCCGAATAGTATGTAAGAGTGGGTCGATCCGCCCCGCCCCGTACCCGCACAATTATTACCCGCCCCGGCCCGTAATAGCGTGGGACGGGCATGGGTATTGAGCTACCCGACCCGACCCATTGCCATCACTAAATATTATTAAGATAACTATGCAGTTACCATTTCTAAGCCAAATAGATATAATTAACTTGTTTCTGGTATTGTTTTCCTCTGAGAAAAATTGTAATTTAGTGTTGTTTGAGATGCTCCCCTGCGTCCCCATCAATGCCAGATTGAGATTTGCCTACCTTATTAGTTGGCTTTTTCTGTAGGAGAGTAATTGTACTTAGTACTGTAATTTTGCTGTTGTTTGAGAATCGTATCGAAACAAAAAAGGAAAAAAACGAAACAAAATTGGGGATAACAGACTTGGAAGCACATGGAAGTCAAAAACTGAAACACAAATTCCAGTTTTTGAATTCTAGCTATTCATCCATTGAGAAAGACAACTGTGGATTTCTACTAGCTAGCCAATCAGGCTGAAAAGAGAAGAGGACACACAAAGACAAATAGCCGCCCTCTCGACTAATAAGATTCTCTCGGCCACCGGAAAAAACGACGGCCGGAGAATGAATCTAAATTAATACGGTAGTAGCGGCGGCGGGAGGTGGTGGTGGAAAGAGGTGGCGGCGTCGCTTCTTGTAGTTGGCCTTGAAGGATGCCTGCCTCAGTTTCTTGGTCTTTTCTGTAAGCTCAAGATCGGGTTCATTCTCAATAAGCCTTCTGTGCTCTTCCAACAGCGTCACCGTCTCCTCCCTCATCCCCATTTCTTTAACGCTGTGGATGAGCGAGTTCAGGCTCTTGATCTTCCGATGAGGCCATCGCATTATCTTCAGTTCCCTACGCAGTCAAAATCGTGATTCTCTGGATAACATTTTAAACTTTAAAGCGTAAAAATAATTTGACTTACGTAGAACCGTTTTGGTGACATACCGCCTCTTGAGCACCGTTAAACCAACTTTCATTTCCTTGGCGGCTATGGTGATGGGGACGTGGAAGTACTTCTGTATGTCTTCAAGTTCCAAACCTCCCCGACCACGACTGCCGACGCCGCCGCAACTCCTCGCCGCTTCGTTACTCTCCTCCCATCCTCCGGCGCCGCAGCCATCTGTCCCTGATTTTGTTGAATGATGTCACCCTTAATAACTTCATCACCATGATGCTCATGCTCCGGCTTCACGGAAGCGTCAACGGGAACGGTCTCCGGCGGAGCAGCGTCAAATGTAATGGGACCGGTGAGGAAATCATCATTTGTCGTCCCCGCCGGCGCCGCTAGACCAAAGTCTATTGGGCCGAAATTGTAATAGTTGTTGGGCCACTGGGTCCATAGTTTATCTATGTGGCCCAGTTCGTACAAATTCTGGCCCATGTTGCTGCCGCCGCCTTCCGAGTATTGGTTTATAAATACTAAATAGCGTCGGCGCCGGCGCCGACGCTGGAAGCTGGGGCTCGAGTAATTGTAGCCTGCATGCAGTAAAAACATATCCATATTATGCGATGAAATGCTTTGTTTCGCTTCTTTTTTTTAAATGTAGAAATGATTTTTTGTTTAGTGGAATAACTTGATTACATTACGAAGAAAACAAAGATATATACTACCGACCGTATCAATCGAAAAATAAAAAAGCCACGATATCATCAGGAGACGTAAAAAAGGGGACTTACTCGTCGTAACCGTCTTCTATGAAAGACCAGTCCTCGTCGTCGAGTAGCGGCTGTTGCTGATCACGATGATCAAAGTACTGCTTCTGCTGCTCCATTGCTAGTATTTCATAAACATTGTGAATTTTCATGATCATCAAACACTAATGGGGTGAAATTGTGGGTTCTAAGTTATTTATAGGCCTCAAGTGGTGTGTGTGAGAGAGCGGTTAATCGTGGGCTGTAAAAAAAATCGAAATTAATGATTTGTGAGAAAGGCGCAGTAAATAATTATAAGTAGTGGGATAAGTAGAGTGGTTATGTAATTATTATGCAGTGTGGTTATCGGGAATTTAAGTTGAGAAATTAATCCAATGAGTGTAGGGGGGGGGATGAACGTATGTACGTAATTAATTACGATTAGCAAATACCAATAACGATCATTACTTGTTAATTAACCATCGCCGGCATCGAAAAATCGAAGTGAGCCGGTTGGAAATGCTCTCAAGTGACCAAGGTGGAACATCAGCTCCGGCGCCGACTCTCCTCCCTTCTGATCGGCCACCGGATTTAACTGGCTCCTTTGCGATAGCTGATCCTATACTGAAGTCTCCGTCGGTGGCTACGGCCACCAGTTCAAACGATATGATTATTGAACCCTCTGTTTTATCTGTGCAGGAAAGGCCGACCCAGATTCCGATGGCGGCAGCTCAAGCGGGAATGGAGACCGCCCAACCTTTCTCGTATGCTAATGCGGTTAAGGGGACTCCGGCGAAGGTGACATCTTCGAACCCATTGCAATGGTGGACTCCAGTAGGCGAACATGACCTAATTACTAGCGATCGAAATGGGGAACCGGCACTCACAATTTCGGCCGAATTCAAAGCTAGATTGTGCGCGCCTTGGGAAAGAGCTCTGGTGGTCCGCTTGCTCGGACTAAGGATCGGCTTCGTCACGCTCTGTCACCGGCTCAAAAGTTTGTGGCGGCCGACGGGTCCGATGGAGGTCAAGGACTTAGACCATGACTGCTTCCTGGTGAAGCTGAACAACGAACAAGACTATTTCAGGGCGCTTACGGATGGACCGTGGGTTATATTCGATCACTATTTGGTGGTACAACAATGGTCGACGAAATTTAAGGCCTCTGATCCTCTGCCAAAGACAATGATTGTCTGGGTTCAGCTCCCAGCCTTGAAGATCCATTTTTACCACAGGGAGGTGCTCACGACGTTAGGGAATCTCATTGGGCGAACCATTAAACTGGATTACCATACTCTGAATCAAGAACGAGCGAAGTTTGCTCGGCTGGCAGTTGAAGTGGACCTGTCGAGGGCTCTGGTTCCCAGGATCTGGCTTGATGACGAGTGGCAATTGGTTGAATATGAAAATCTTCCTGAGGTCTGTTTCAGGTGTGGAAAGATCGGTCATGAAGCAGTAGCCTGTCCGTCTATTAATCCGGTCGTAGCGCCGGTGCCATTGCTGACTGCCGGCGGGTCTTCTCCGGCGAGCCCCCAGATGTCGGACGACCCTAATCCGGGATACGGTCCTTGGATGCTGGTGACCAAGAAGACTCGGCGAAATCCAAGGGAGGACCAGAAAAAAGGAAAGGGTGATCAGGAGGCCGGAAATCAGGCCCTGAAACAAGTCTCTAAAAATGGAAATAAGGGGCCTCGGCGAAGGAAAGGGGGCAACCGCTGCTGATTAAGGAGCCTCTTAACGGTAACTTACCAAACCAGAGCTATTCACAGGAGAGGAAGGGGAACATGGAGAAGAAAAGGAAAGAGGAGGCGAAGAAAGGAAAGGATAGAGTTCTCGGCAATGGGTCCGAGAAGGGTAAAGGACTCCTTGGGCCAGGGCCCAGCTTTGGTGAGACAAGCGTGGACGAGTCAGGGCCCAGCTCCCTGGATGGTGGCCTATCTTCTGCTGGGCCTTCGCTGGTCACCTCTTCGAAGCAGGGTGAGACGAAGGCTCATGGCGTGCTGGTTGGGCCGGCCGAGGGCGTCAAGCCCACTAAAGCCCCTCCGCCAACGCCCAGTTTTCGCACGGTGACAGGCCCGAATGTGACTGTTATGCAAATTTTAATCAACAAGCCCACTGGCAAAGAGAATGAGGATCCAAAGTCGACCTCTTCCCCTTCGCTGACGAGCAGAACCAAACGGAGCAAAAACAAGAAAGTGCAGCAAAAGAATTCGCCGACCAAGCTGAATTCGATGAAGCCCCTGCAAATTTGGTCCCCGGTGAAGGATAGGAAACCAAAATCAAAGGGCCGGTTGGCGTCGCTGACCTTACAAGAAATCCATGCCTGGACGGAAGCGGCGAAACGGCCAGCCAGTGGAGAAAGAGAGTCGGGGTCGGCGGAAATGTCTGCCAATATCGGGGGCGAAGAGTCAGTGGTCGCCGGGGCCGCGACTTGCCCGCCTGTGCTACCCTCGTCGTGATGCGAGCCGAGCTTCCTCCCGTGTTCTGGTCCGCCTTTATCTCTTTGATATGTCTATGTCAACCATTTTGAAAGTCTTCTCCTGGAACGTCGGCGGTGCGGGAGGAAGGGGGTTTGTAAGAGCGCTAAAACTGGCGGTCCAGAATCATCGGCCTGACTTTGTGGTGTTACTGGAACCCCAGATTAGTGGGTTGCAAGCAGACTCCGTTTGTGATAAGCTGGGATTTCCCAACTCGATCCGGGTTGAGGCAGAGGGACGAAAGGGGGGTGTGTGGGTGTTTTGGGATGCGAGAGCCTTCTCTGTGCAGCCTATTTCTGCCTGTTTCCAACACATTTCCTTGCAGGTCTCGAGGAATAATGAGGCCCCGTGGATGTTGACAGCGATCTATGCCTCTCCTCGGCATAGCGAACAGAAACATCTTTGGGATAGGTTGATTGAGCTCAGTAAATGCATTGATATCCCTTGGTTGTTGACAGGGGACTTTAATGCTATCAGCAAGCTGGAGGAGAAGTCGGGCTTACCGGCAAGGAACACTCTCAGCAGGTGCCAGCTTTTTACAGAGAGAATGAACTCGGCGGAGCTGGTGGACCTTGGGTTCTCGGGTCCCAGGTTCACGTGGGGGAGGGGTGATCAAAATCATACTTACAGAGCAAGCAGGCTCGACAGGAGCCTCTGCAACCTCCGCTGGAACACGGTCTTCCCTAATACGACTGTGCTCCACTTGCCTCGCCTCCAATCGGACCATAATCCGATCCTCACCACTGTTCAGGGGCAGTTGACTCACCAACAGCAGATCCGCTCTTTCAAGTTTGAAGCGGCCTGGCTAACGGATGAGCGCCTGCCAAATTTAGTGGCGGAGGCATGGGATTCTCAAGCTCCTATCCAGGATGCCCTTCGCACTCTTGCTGCCAAGTTAGGGGAATGGAACGAAGTTGTTTTTGGGGACATTAAGCAGAAGAAAAGAAGGCTATTAGCTAGGCTCAAGGGAGTTGAAATGAGATTAGCAGACAGTTTTTCTCCGGGTATGGCTAAGCTCCACACTAAGCTGGCGGGAGAGCTGGATAAAGTTCTGGAGCAGGAGGAGCTCCTCTGGTATCAGCGATCTAGAGATAATTGGGTTAAGTATGGAGAAAGAAACACAGCCTATTTTCACCAGCAAGTCAACATCAGGAGGCGTTTTAATAAAATTCAGGCGTTGCTGGATGATAACGGCGATTGGGTTACTGATCCTGCTTCTCTGGCGCAGCTGGTGGTTGGCTTTATCTCTAACATTTTCTTGCAGGACGATTCTCCTTATGAGGATAGGTTGCCGAGGAATGCTTTTCCGCGTCTGAGCCAGGAGGAGATAGCAGCTTTATTCAGGCCTTTCACTATCATGGACATCCATAAGGCGGTGTTCGATATGAAGCCTCTTCAGGCCCCTGGTCCAGATGGATTTCAGGCAGTGTTCTACCAACGCTTCTGGCAGGTAGTAGGCAGGGCCCTGTCCGAGATGGCCATCTCTTTTTTCATGACAGGGGTTTTACCGGTGGCGGTTACAGATTCGACTCTTGTGCTCATCCCGAAAGTTGACTCGCCGGAGAGAGTTACCCAGCTCAGACCTATCTCTCTCAACAATGTCTGCCTCAAGAGTATTACGAAGGCGATGACCTCGAGATTAAAGCCCCTGATGAGGAAGTTGGTGTCTCCGAGACAGAGCAGCTTCATTCCCGGCAGACAAACGACTGATAATATCATTGTTGTTCAGGAAGTCCTTCACTCTTTTCGCAAGAAAAGAGGGAAGAAAGGGGGATTAATCTTTAAGATCGATCTTGAGAAAGCGTACGACATGCTCCGTTGGGATTTTCTGCGGGATACTTTGAAAGAGGTTGGGCTGTCCAGCAGCTGGATCAACTGTATTATGTACTGTGTGGAGCACAACAGGATGAGAATCAGATGGAATGGAGAGTTGTCTCATCCGATTACTCCAACCCGTGGCGTCCGTCAGGGAGACCCTCTTTCCCCTTATCTTTTTGTTTTGTGTATGGAACGATTATCGCATAAGATAGATGAGGCGGTTAATAATGGACAGTGGAAAGCTGTAAGGCTAACCAAAACCAGTCCACCACTAACTCATCTGTTTTTTGCAGATGATCTGTTACTCTTTGCAGAAGCAGAAAGACGTCAGATCCGGGTAGTGAAGCAGTGTCTTGCAGACTTCTGCTACAGCTCCGGGCAGCGGGTCAACTTCAGCAAGTCCATTATCTATGTCTCTCCGAATGTTGCCAGACGAAAAGCAGAGTATCTGAGTTCTTGTGCAGGGATCCCTCTGAAGGCAGGGTTGGGGAGATATCTCGGGATCCAAGCTATTCAAGAAAGGATCACCAAAGGGAGATACCAGTCTCTGATACTCCGCATTCAGAAGAAGATGGCTCCCTGGAAGGCGAAGCGTCTTTCCTTTGCTGCCCGTCTCACCGTGGCGAAATCGGTCACTGCCTCGCTACCTGTTTATACTATGAATACGGAGCTGATTCCTAGTGGTGTGTGCAGAAGTATTGATAAAATAAGCAGGGATTTCATCTGGGGTGATGAGGAGAATAAGCCTAAATTTCACCTTGTGGCGTGGGAGCGTTTAACGGCACCTAAAAGCCAAGGGGGTGTGGGGATCAGGCCGACTCGTCTAGCTAATCTGGCTATGCTCGCGAAAGGTGGTTGGCGACTCCTTAAAGACAAAGAAAACATCTGGCAGCAGTTGCTCATATCGAAGTATGGCGGGCAACGGAAGGGCTTGGATGTTCTACAGCAAGTAAAGGGAAGTTCCTTCACCTGGCGTAGCTTCACGAAAGCTGCGGATCTCCTCAAGCGAGGGTGTGCTTGGAATATTAAAAACGGGAAAAGAACTAAGTTTTGGATTGATCCGTGGATTTTGCAGGTACCGCTTAAGGAGAGGGCGCTTGGAGACATTCCAGAGGATCTGAAGGAGGCGGCGGTGGCTGATTTTGTGCAAGAAGACGGCGCTTGGCGTACCGAGTTGTTCGAGGAGCTCCTTCCACCGGACATTTGCAGCAAGATTACGAGCATGGCGGTGGATACCATTTCACCCCACGATGACTCGATTTTCTGGACGGGGACCTCTGATGGGCGGTTTTCCACAAAGTCGGCCTTTGAGCTTCTCACGAACCAGGCGGAGCAGATGCGTGATGAAGTGTGGAAGGTAATTTGGCATCTGCCAGTTCCGGAGAGGATCAGATGCTTTGTTTGGCTGGCCTATCAAGGGAAAATTGCCAGTAATACTCTTCGGTATCAGAGGAAAGCGGCCGACTCTCCTTTTTGCTTGAGGTGTACAGGTTGTCCTGAGACGGCCCTTCACATCCTTCGGGATTGCGCCCCTGCTATGTATTTTTGGGCGAGACAGGTTCCTCAGCAGCAGCAGACTGAGTTCTTCAGCGGTAATCATGATGAGTGGTTTAGGAGGAATCTGCTGAGTAAGGAGTCATCTGACTCGGGCATAAGTTGGCCGGGTTTTTTCGGGATTGCCATATGGTTATTGTGGAAGAACCGGACCACTGCGTCTTTCAAGGGGGTGGGTTCAGCTCTATCGGCTCCATCGCTGGCTCATTCTATTATTCAAAAGTGCAGGCTGTGGACGGACTCTTGGAATGCGCCAGACTTGCTGTACAGTCACAGAAATAGAAGGGCGGAGCGCGTGGTGGCGGACGTTGGTTGGATTCCTCCTAGCCAGGGGTGGGTGATGGTGAATACAGACGGGGCTTCGAATGGCAACCCTGGGCCGGCCGGCGCGGGGGGTGTGATCAGAGATGCGATGGGGAACTGGCTTGGTGGATTTGTCGTGAACATCGGCACAGCAACGGCAGCTCTGGCGGAACTTTGGGCTATTTTTCATGGTTTAGAGCTGGCTTGGAAGCTCGGATTCCGAGTGGTGAAGCTCGCTTCGGACTCTCAGCTAGCGGTTCAGCTTATTCAGGATCGGCAGGATCCCATTCACCCTTATGCTACTCTGTTGGGTCTCATCCGTAGGAAGCTCAGCCAGGACTGGCTGGTCAACCTGTCTCATACATACCGTGAAGGGAATAGAGTCGCGGACTGGCTCTCGAAGCACAGTCTCGTCTATCCCTATGGGATGCATGAGCTGGTTGATCCGCCTTTGGGAGTGATTCCTATTATTAGAGACGATTTGATGGGGGTTACCTTTGAGCGCCGGGTTGTGGCGAGTCCCTCTTCTTCCTCTTCTTGATTTTCCTCCCCTGTTCCTTGTTGTTCTTCTCTCTGGCTTCGGCCTCCTTGCTATGCAAAAAAAAAAAAAAAACCATCGCCGGCATTGGTGGGGTTGCTTATATTTATTTAGTGGGGATTGCTAAACGTCGCCCTAACTTTTATTAAATCGCCCTAATTATAAAATTAAAATTACATTTTTATCCTTTTATTTTTTATTGTTAGAATATATTTTATCCTAACGAGCACAACTCATCACCGAATAAACAAAATAAAACTATTGACCCGAGAATCTGATTCACCGCTGCCATTATTCATCATTGCCGTTACCGGATGCCGCCACCATTACCCACCTCCAGCAAAGTGCAAAAGGCAACCAACGTCTTTCATACAAAGACAAAAAAGCCTGATTACAATTCCATCTAACACGCAATCATTATCACCTAAGTGACCTAACACACAACAAATCAAACTCTCATTACAAGTTATTATAACTGTTACCCTAATTATCAAACTTAAAGGAAACCATGCCAATTGCGGCAGTATAGAGGAGGAGCGGGGCGTGGTGATGGAGGACGATGACAACAAGAAAGAAGAGGGACTTCGGAGTAATCTCCGTCCGCGGCGAAGGGTCGGTTGGAGGTGGTCGCCTCGTCGGCAGTGAAAATCGTTTAGTGTAGAGGATTGCGCGGCGGAGGGAGTTTAGCCGCTTTCTTCTAATGAGGATGAATAATTAGGGTTTTAAGGGCGGTTGGTTTTGTTAATTTTATTTAGGAAACTAAAGGATAATTTAGTAATTTTATATTTTAGATTAGGGCGATAACAGTAAAATTAGGGCGACGTTTAGCCTTTCAGTATATTTATTACTTAGTAGCCTCTCTGGTGTGAACATGAATCCACACACAACGAGTTTAAAACAATTCAAATTACTCCGATCAAATTGACATCATCCACACTAAGATGATCATCTTCTTTTTCTTAATCGTAAAAGTCTCATCCTTCCCATCCAATAACAATCATGTAAATAATTTGGACTTTGCTACGGTGACATGCATGTCACGGTGACATGCACTTTCCGGTCGACCTCATATAGGATTAGGTCGACCTAATATGTTGTTTTAGTGTAAAAACCGTTTCATGGTGCCTACTTTGGAGATTCATATCTTACAATTGGCTAGATGAAAATTGGAGATTAGTGGCTTGTTTTGAAGCTGAAGTGTCCCTCTACAAATTTAAGTACTTGGGAGCTAAATAGAAAGTCTAGAAGACCATTTTTTAACCTGATCAAAAGGCTATTTCAAAACTGGGAAACTGCCTGAAAATGGCCAAGTCTGGGGACGTGTTTGTGAAGCCTACTTTGGAACTCAATTTGAGGAGTATGGTTGTGATTCGAGTCTAGGGGCCTCTACCACGTTAAATTAGGCATGTTTGTCTACAAAGGAAAGGCATTGGATAAAAGATTGGATATCTTTAAGGCATCAAACAAAAGGCTCGAAGTTGCTACAAAGGCTGTTTTTCTGGCAACTTGCTTGTGAGGTCGACCTGATCCTAAATGCGGTCGACCTGATCCTAAGTGAGGTCGACCGGATCCTAAATGAGGTCGACCTGATCCTAATTGAGGTCGACCGAAAAGTGCAAGTCACCGTGACATGCATGTCACCATAGGCGCACCCAAATAATTTTGGTCTTGCTTGACAGAGAAAAAAAGCTATATAATTAGCTTTGTCAACTGATGGTCCACTGGAGTGATTAGCCCAGAAGAAAAAGCCTATCATGAAATGGTGGGCCAGGTGTGGATCTACATCAAATTTGGGCCTGAATTAAAGCCTAATTACTAATTAGTACAAACCAGGGACCCAATTTCCCCCACCGAGTGCGACTTCCTTCTTCTTCTTCTACTTCTACCAAACTTTTGACCATTTAATCCTTGAACACCAATAAAGTTCAATTTGTCAAGTGGGATTTGTGCAATTCGTGAATTCAAAAAAAAAGCACCATGCTCTCTCCATCAACCCACTCATCCACCTCCACCAACAATACCACCAGCAGTCGCACCGAAGAAGACCCATCAATTATCTCCACTCTATTCGATACTTCCCGAAATAAATCATCCTATTCATTACCATTTCCAGCTGCCGAAATCGGAGCCTTCAATGTCAAAGAAATCCCCTGCGTCAAAGAGATCCCCTGTGTCAGACCAGGAATCACCTGGGGGGGAAGATACAGAGAAGTTAATGGAGGGCTACCCAGCATTAACACCGCCGTCCACCAATCAAAGATGCTGGCGAGAGGAAATAGCCGTAAAGAAGTGGCAAACCCAGAGATATTAATGAAGCCACCGCCCAGACCACCTGAGGAAACGACCATTATTCCGCACCTGAAGACAGAGATAGGTGCAGGCGTGAGAGGAAGAAGGAAGGGAACTCGGCACGAGGTAGATATGCTCAGCACAACCAATAAACCCAGTCACTGCAACCAGATCTCGGGAATTAAGACTTCAATCATTAAATCCTTCAAGAGAAGGAAGGTCAGACACCCAGTGCAAGGGCCACGGCGAATTAAATCGAGGGCAGTTAAGGAAGGTAAAAGGAAATCCACCCCCCACAGGTCTGCAGGAGTGCCAGAAATGGCCAATACAAGGAAGAGCGAAATTAATGCGAATCGCAGGCGGACTAGGGGAAGAACAAGAGGAAGAGAAGGAGAAAAGCAGAATAGAGCCCATTTAATTCTATATCAGAGAGAAGCCAAGACTCTCTACCCAAAGGAAGGCCTGAAGATCAGCCATCCCCAGCACTATATAAAGTGGTCAACTACGAGCATACAACCACACTTACCTCATTACTATCCCCAACGAATGAATCATATCCCCCTCAACCCAGGAAAAAACAAAGAAACCCAGATCAATACAGTTTGCACCCTACCCCCTCACCCCCAAATGGCAATGGAAAACAACCAGCTGAATCTGCGAGGAGAGAGGAGCCACCTAGTCCTCAACGTCAAGCCAAAGGTGATAGGAGCCAGAGGAAGCGGCATGGCCATGCTGCTCTGCAAATGGGTCACGGACACCAACATCAACCTCCAGAAAGCCAAGAACACGGCAGCAAGCAAGTGGCGTGCTTATGGAGATGTCCAAGCTACCAAAGAGGCGGAAAACCTATATGTCTACTCATTCCAGAGCACTACCCAACGTGATGCAGTCTATGACGCTAGGCCATGGAATCTGGGAAATACGATGATTGCTCTCAAGAAGTGGGACGGGGAGCAGAAGGCGGAGCCAGCTGACATCCCAACTATCACACTTTGGGTCCAGATGCATGACTTGCCACAGTCGCTTAAAGACGAAGAATCTATCCAGGCGGTTGCTGAATACATCTTTCCCCACTACTATGGGATCGACCAGTCCAATTTCGAGTTCAGGGGCTGGCTTAAATTCATTCGAGCCAAGGTTGAGGTGGAACTTGACAAACCCATCCCCATAGGATTCGAATACCCACAGGGGGAAAGATCCATCTGGGTTAGCTTCAAATATGAAAGGATCCTCGATCTCTGCTACTTCTGCGGGAAGCTGGGTCATCTCATCCAAAACTGCCTGCTGAGGGAGGAACACCGTAGAAGGGGTCTAAACATTGACCCGTCTGAGGTATACACACCAGCACTCAAGGCAGGACATGATTCGCCGGCGAATACTCCACCGGCGTCGTTCCGAGAGAAGGTTGCAAGAGAGAGGCAGATGGCATTGTCAGGAGCCAGGTCCCACCGAGCAAGGGGATCCCGAGGTGAATCCTCACTCCTGTCGCTGGTGGGGCGTACCGGTCAGGGAGCAGCCTCATGCCCACCGGGGTTCCCTGCTTTGTCAGGAGAAGAGTACCCACAACCCACAGGCCCGGTCTGGATACAGAGAGAGAAGCCCAGAAACCTCAACAATCCGGTGATGACAGGCCTACTGGAGGAGGAAATGGAGGCTACAACACTGGCGCTGCAGAGGAATCTTGACCTAACTGGCAGAGACTTGAGCAGGATGGAGAAGGCAGGCCTGAAGGAAATGGGTCAGTCGCTGACATTAGCAAGCCCACACTACTCCCAAAATACCCAGGATCCGGCCCATTACCTGGACGCGATTCAACAAGCCCATGGAGAACAGTTGGCGAGCCCAGTCATGGACGCATACACCCAGTCACAAGCCCAAGCAGCACAGCCCATCATCCCAACAGAAGAGGTCATCATCCAGCCCAAATCGGGAATCCTGGCCCGTACAATTTTCTCATCAGCAACTATCATGTCCACCACAGAAGGCAGTGGGAGTAGCAGCCGACCGGAAAAGAAAAGAAAGCCAGACACGAGGGACATCCCATCTTTATCCCTCCCTCCGTTTTTCAACCCCACTAACAACCAAGATGAAGCTCTGTCCTTTTCACCAGGAGGGACCAGGAAGATATACCAGAGGAGAAGAAACTCAATTAGAAGAAGGAGTATTGCAGACATCAACAACGATGGCAATCAATCGGCGGAAGGAGAATCAGCAGTCCCGAAGGAAGCGGCGGCGCACCTTAAGCCGCCAAGCCAGGAATGAGGATGATCTGCTGGAATTGTAGGGGGTATGGCCAACCCCTTACAAGGAGCTATCTCGGCAGACTATGCCGCAAATATGGCCCTTCAGTGGTTTTTTTGATGGAAACGAAGAAGGAGGACTCCTTTCTCGACAGCCGAAGAAGAACCCTGAAGTTCGATCATTCAGAGTATGTGAGCCCTGCTAGTGAAGGAAGTGGCCTTGCGCTGTGGTGGAAGGAAGAAATTAGTGTTGTTATTTTGGATGCGTGTAAGTCTTATGTGGATGTCAGTATTAAGAAAGAAGGAGTAGAGTTCTTTTGTACCTTCATCCATGCTCCTACCACGGTGGTGGAGCGGAGAATGCTCTGGGAACGACTTACGAACCTAAGAGACATTCAGGATGAAAAATGGCTAGTGATAGGGGATCTGAATGTAGCGTTGGTGCCAAGTGAAAAACAGGGGAGATGCCCCTTAAGGAATGAAAATGTTGCCCCTTTTAAGTATTTCATAGAGAGGAACTCTCTGCTGGATCTTGGGTTCTCGGGTCAGCCATTTACCTGGACCAATAAACAACAGGATGACAACCTAATCAGGGAGAGGCTTGACAGAGCTATGTGCACTGCAGCATGGAGAATCAGTTTCCCCTCAGCGACAGTGATTCACGAGGACTTCGTTGAGTCCGACCACTGCCCCATCAGGCTTGATCTCAGCCCAAGACGAAGAAGGATTGCCACCCCTTTCAGGTTTGATAAAAGATGGAAAGAGGAAGAAGAATGCAACCAGATCATTTCAGAAGCAGTGGGGGACAGGAGGTCTATTAATCAGGTGTTATCGGATTGCAAAGATAACCTCACAAGGTGGGCAAAGAATGGAAGAGAGATCAAAAGCAGGAGGGAAAGCGAAATCAGAAACAGAATCCAGGTGCTACAAGGCCCTGATAGGTCCCTTGCAATGACGCAGGAGGAAAAGGATCTCCAACAAGAGCTCCACCTCCTTTGGTCCTCAGAGGAGGAATTCTGGGCTCAGCGATCCAGGAACTCGTGGCTGCAGGAAGGAGACCAGAACACAGGCTTCTTCCATGCCAGCACAGTTAAAAGGAGAAATTCGAACAGGATCCTAAAACTGAAAAATGACAACGATGAGTGGATTGATAATGAGCAGGAACTGGGGAGCTTGGTCACTGATTTCTACCAGAAGCTATTCACGTCCAGAGGAGGATCCTTTGACCACACTATTATGCAAGGGTTCCCCTCGTTGGTCTCTGCTGACCTGAACCTGGCTCTCACTGCCCCTCTGCTTAATGAAGAAATCAGGAAAGCCGTCTTCCAGCTTGGAGCCAACAAAGCACCGGGCCCCGATGGATTCCCAGGTTTTTTCTACAGGCGTTTCTGGAACACCCTAGGGGGTCCATTGTGCGACGAGATCAGAGGTTTTTTTGACTCAGGAACCATGCCAGAGGAGTGGAATGAGACTTTCATCACCATTATCCCGAAAGTGGCCAATCCAGAAAGGATTACTCAATTCAGGCCTATCAGCTGCTGCAACTTCAGATACAAAATCATCACCAAGATTATGACCAGTAGGCTTCAACAATGGCTACCTGACCTGGTCAACGAGCTTCAATCAGCTTTCACAGGGGGTAGGCAGATTCAGGACAACATTGTTATTGTCCACGAAGTACTTAACCATTTTAAGAAACACAAGAAAGGTAACAGGAAGGACATGATGATGAAGCTGGACATGAAAAAGGCATACGACCTTGTAGAGTGGGACTTCCTACTTGAGCTTCTCAAAGCGTATGGTTTCAGCGAGACATGGTGCCTTTGGGTCCGAGCTTGCATCTCCTCTGTTCGCTTTCAGGTCCTCTTCAATGGAGAACCCTCTCCTGCCTTCTTTCCGTCTAGGGGATTAAGACAGGGGGACCCCTTATCACCCTTGCTCTTCATCCTCATGTCTAATGCACTCTCCTTCCTTATTGAGACTTCGGCAAGGAATCGAGAGATTAGGGGCCTGAGGCTCAACAAACATTGCCCCCTCCTGACTCACTGCCTGTTCGCCGACGACACGGTCATTTTTGGACAGGCCTCGACGGAGGAAGCGGAGATCATCCTGAAAATTCTCAATGACTATGGAGCTATCACTGGCCAAGAAGTCAACCGGGAGAAATCATCGGTCTTCTTTAGCCAGAATGTGAGCAGAGATGAGCAAGCTATTATCACAAATACTATTGGTTTTACTGACTCAGGGAGCCATAACAAGTATCTTGGGGTCCCCACTGCTTGGGGAAGATCGAAAGCGGAAACATTTCTCTTCCTAACACAGCGGATGGAAAGTAAGGGAGAAGCATGGAAAAGCTTGCTTCTGTCACCAGGGGGGAAAGAGACACTACTGAAAGCAGTGATTCAGGCCATTCCGGCATTCATTATGTGCCTGTTTCTCCTCCCCCTAGGCACGGTGAGGAAGATGGACTCTCTGCTTAAGCGCTTCTTCTGGGGAGGCTCGATCACAAAGAGAACCATCCACTGGAGAGATGGGCGAACCCTGTATGCACCTAAACAGGAAGGGGGAATTGGATTCCGACCGTTCCATGAATACAACCTGGCGCTCTTGGCCAAGCAAGCATGGAGGATCCTGACTTGCCCCAATGCCCTCTGGGTTCGGTTGCTAAAGGGATTATATTTCCCAAAATCGGAGTTCATGGAAGCAAGAAAAGGAGGGAAAGCATCTTGGATATGGGCAAGCCTTTGGGAAGCGCGAATTAAAATGGAACGAGGACTTATCAGAGTAATTGGGAACGGGAAAACAACGAGGATCTTCCAAGATCCATGGTTGATCGAGAGAGCTGGGAAACTTTTTCCGGACCAGTCAACGTTCCCAGCTACTGTCGACAGCTGGATTGATGAAGTGGACAGAGTATGGAAAAAAGACCTCATTGCTGAATTCCTCCCCGATCAGCAACTTCATCATGTCCTGTCTACCCCGATTGGACCGGATAACATGAATGATTACTGGGCCTGGAGATTTACTGACCAGGGATTGTTCTCAGTTAAGTCAGCTTTCCACTCATTTCACAATCAAAAGAGAAGGGCTCAAAGGGACTTCCAGGAAACCCCTGATAGCACTAAGGAAAAATGGAAGTGGCTTTGGAGCATTTCACTACCTCCGAAGTTGAAATTTTTCGTTTGGAAGTGTAGCAAAGGAGCAATGGCAACAAAGGAAAATCTGCACGCACGACGCTGCTCGCCATCTAATGGCTGCCCTCTGTGCTTGGGAGAGATTGAGACCATTCAACACTGCCTTTTCTTCTGCCCGCTAGCAGCAGAAGGATGGAAAGAGGCCTGGCCCTCGCTCTACCTTCCCCAACAGCATTCCAACACCCTGGACTGGCTCTTCTCCCTTCGTTCAAGGTATTCGCAGGCAGATATGCAAAAAATTGTTTATCTTATGTGGCACACTTGGAAGGCCAGAAATGAATGCATCTTCAGGGATAAAAGGATTTGGCCACCAGAAACAGTCAACCAAGCAGCCTGCAGTTTCCAACAGTGGGCGTCGTGCCCTGCTTTGAGAAAGCTCCCTCGTGTTCACCCTCAGCCTATTCCACACCCGGAAGAAGTTTTACCACCGCCAGGTACTCATGATTTTGAGATACACTGTGATGGATCGTTCCTACACGATTCCCAGGAGGCGGCATATGGCGTGGTCATCACCAATTGCCATGGTCAAATTGTGGACGGGAAGGCTGAGCCCTTACACTGCTCTTCACCAATCGAAGCGGAAACCAAAGCCCTTCTTGAGGGAACTCGGTCTGCTACCCAGCTAAATGCGGCTTGTATTATAAAATCTGATTGCCTCACCCTGGTCAGGGCTATTCAAGGATCACTGGATCCATGGCCTTGGCGAGCGGCGGCATGGATCGGCATCATTCGACAGCTTTGCTTCTCCTTCCCATGGATTAGGATTGAGTATATCAGTAGGAAGCTTAATGCAAAGGCAGATTGGGTGGCCAGGTCTCGAGCCAGGAACCAGCTCCCTCAGGAATGGCTACAAATTCTGGACATTGTGTCCCCCCTGTTGTAATTCTGGTGTCCAATTCAATGAATGAAAAGCGTGTCTTAACGTCAAAAAAAAAAAAAACACCAATAAAGTTCGTCTTCCCCAAAGATCAAATTCCCTCTCTGGCTCTTTTCCTTCAATCACGCAGCCTTCACCGCATTACGTGCTCCCCTCAAAGCAACGCCTTCTTTTTTTTCTTCTTCTGCTTCCTGGCACGATTTCTTCCTACCGCTCTCTCTCTTTCCCTCCCTATCCACAGTACCGTTTCGTTTTTCTTCCCTTCTCGACTTTATGTACCTCTACCAGCTCACCTCATTCTTCTTCTCCAAACCATTTAAGCCACCCGGACTGCGGAGCATTTTTCCTCACTTGCCTGCTTAGTCAGACAACGCCGTCGTTATCGAGCATTAGGAAGCCACAAGGGCAGCCCCTCTTGTGCTCGTTGGTCGATGGGGCAGCTGGGTTTTGCAGCGTAGAAGGGTTTCTTACCTGGGAGAGAGGGAGAGGGAGAATCAGGTTAGTCCGATTGATTATTCACTGCCTAGAGCCTCCCAATTGGCTCTGTTTTCTGGTTCTGCTCGTTGGGTTTTAGGTGAAAGCAATCCCTTTTGGTGTACCCTTTTGATCGAGGTGAATCTGCGGGAGACTAGATAGTAGTTTTCTCCAATTCATGGTTGTTGCGTTTCATCTAGGAACTAAACAAGGGGGAATTCCCGGGAAATGATTATCTTCTCCCCTTTTTGGATGTACTTAAAGAATTGGGCGTCGATTACTTTTATGGTTTGTGAATTATATTAATACTTGGTTTGGGAAGGAGGAGTACAGTTGAAGAATGCAGATGGAGTTTACTTATTTAGGTCTCTTAAGGAGGAGCAAAATGCAGTTGTTGGGAGCGTTTGGTGTGATTCTCTCCCTCCCTGTAAATATATATTCTCCCTTCTCTGAGCAGTCTCAGAAGCCTGTCTAATGGCTGAAAGTAGGGTATGGATTACAGAATTAAAATTTTAGTATTTGCAGAATCTTGAGCTCAAGATTGTTGCTTTTGTCTCTTTTCTCTTGTTATCTTGTCGTTAAAGTTTGTTTCTGTCTCCTGCCATTTGATTCTTTCTTGCTTTTTTGGAGTTTGAACGTTTGCATTACATACTTGATGCAGCTCTAGTGGAGCGTTTCTAGTTATTATATTAGCTATTGTAGTCCTCAGTTTCTTATCCATTTCAAGCTACTGGGGCTCCAGCATTCTGCAGCAACTTTGGCTTATCTGAGTTGTAGCTTATGATTCAATGCTGAATAATGTTTTCGTCTTGATCTTACTTCTCCAGTGAGACTTTTGGTTGCGGCTCTAGCAGGGAGAGGAAGGGCTTGGTTCAAGAAGTAGGTCTCTTCCATGGTTACCATGACCGCATGTTCGGTCTCTCGAGAGGCGTCAAATTATGATGAGCTCTCTATGCAGCAGAGCTTGCTCTTCGCAGATAGTCTCAAGGTACTTCTACTTGTTTAAGCATTCACATCAATACATTAGCTTATGCTTGGTAAGAAAGAATGGCACAATTGCTTTTTTTGGAGAAGATACGAAGTTTCATGATGTTAGATTTGATGCGATAGCCCAATGGTTGCCATGTCTCATAGGCTTTCTACCGCATTCTAGTTTTAGTAGGGTACCCTTCTGTTACTAGTTCGCCTTCTAATCCATTGAAATTCTATTACACACGCTTTTGGTGCTTTACTAGAGTCCCGGTAAGCCAGAGTGTTAAATGTTGTGCTGTCTCTGAACTTCAGGATTTGAAGAATTTAAGAACACAACTGTACTCGGCTGTTAAATGTTGTGCTGTCTCTGAACTTCAGGATTTGAAGAATTTAAGAACACAACTGTACTCAGCTGCTGAGTACTTTGAGCTATCTTACACGAATGATGACCAGAAGCAAATGTATGATGATGCAGCCCGGTTCAGTTTTTCTTTTGTTTGCCTCTTTGGTTTCATTTACAAAATTTTGCAGTGCTGAATTTGCAGAGTGGTGGAAACGTTAAAGGATTATGCAATCAAAGCTCTGGTGAATACAGTGGATCATTTGGGTTCAGTGACGTATAAGGTTAATGATCTCCTGGATGAAAAAGTAGACGAAGTTACTGGAACAGAGTTTAGAGTGTCCTGTCTTGAACAGGTATGCATATTTGTTCACAGCTGGTTCCTTTCATACATTGTGTACTATATTGGCCACTTTTTTAAGATCATAAATGCAACTTCACGTTTCTCTGGTTTAGAATAGGCTTCATGGAATGAGATAAGATTGATCTGTGCTGGTGACAAAATGGTACAGTATGGTAAAGAAGCATTATGTTGAGGATGAAAATGAATGCAAACAGACGTTTGTGGCATTGTGAAAGAAACTTCTTGGCTGTAGTCCCATGAATGCCAATAATTCTAGAATATATGGTGCCTTCTTAGCAAATTGTTTGGTAGAATCCTGCAGCTGCCAGATAGGATTCGGTTTAGTTTTAATTGGGTTCAGTAATCTGTGTTTGAACATTCTGAACCTCAATTCCTTGGTTTCCCTGGGCCCTAGTCACATGTTCATTTGCACAGTAGAATTCAGATCATCTCTGTTTCTGGATTCTGCGAATGAACGACTAGGCTGGTTTGAAAGCTATGCATGCTTTCATTTGCTGTTTCTTGCTTAAATGTTCATATCCTGCTAAGCTTTTTCCCTCAAGGATGTCTGACAATTGATGAAATGTGCGCTGACATTGGTTTGCTCCTTTCTGGTGTGGTGTGTTAGAGATTAAGGACTTGCCAAGAGTATATTGATCATGAAGGCATCTCTCAACAGTCACTGGTGATAAATACGCCAAAGTACCACAAGCGGTACATTCTGCCAGGCAATAATGCTAATCTTATGTTTCTGTCTTCCAGAAAACATATTTTTTTTGTTCTATCCTTGTGGATTTTAAAGGTTCAGACATTTGGACTCATACCAGATCTCTCAATTCTTTGTCTTCAGTTGGGGAGACAATGCAAGGTTCCATCCGCACTAAAGCAAAATACCAAGGATGCAGTCTTGACGATGAAGATGATTGGCGCCAATTTAGTAATGGTATTATGAGGATTTTGCTTTTCTTCTGCTTGCTATTCGTTTGGCATATACTATTTCAGTGTCTTATTGTTTGTACACTTCTTTCGTGCTTGGCAAAGCTGTTCGAGCTACCATTAAGGAAACACCACCAGCTTCAGTAAGGTATTGAGATACCCTTAGCCCTTAGGAGTACAGAAAACTGTAATAGTTGCATCCTATAAATAATGAAGTTAATTCATTTGAACTTGATGCAGCAAAGCGAGCACACCATCACCATCTCCTCGAATTCCTCAGCGATCTTCAACCTTTTCCTTTACAGGCACAGCATCAAAGAAAGAACAAGGTCAGAGTCCACTTTTCGGCCTTTTAGATTGAACAATTGTTTAAGTGTGCTTGTTTTAGCTTTTAAGCCAATTTTACTTTTTTCTAAAACAAGCACACCCTTACTCTAATTCTTGGTTTTCTGAACTGAAGTAATGTCTGTTGCCACTGAATCAGATAAGCGAACGGTTTCACCACACCGTTTCCCTCTTCTGCGCTCTGGTTCTGTGTCAAGTAGACCAACAACACCAGGAGCAAGTAGACCTACTACTCCAAGTGCTGCTTCTGCAGCAAGACGACGGGTAATAAGCACTGATTATGCTTCTCTGGATCATTTTAATGATCAGGATAACTAGTTAACCAACTTGCGTTTCTGGAAGAAACTCTGAATAGCTCTGTTTTCATTTCTGATTTTTATCCTCTCCACAGTACCCATCAGAGCCACGGAAATCACTGTCGATGCGAGTCCCAGCCGAGAAAAACTCTAAAGACATTGAACAATACCCAAGCAAAAGCAAGCGCATCCTCAAGGCTTTGCTTAGCCGAAGGAAATCGAAGAAAGATGAGATGCTTTATACATACTTGGATGAATATTGATGGAAATAGAGAGAATACCATTGATATAGGGTCAAAGGATCAAAAGTGTGCACCTGCAACATGAAGTATTTTCTTTCGACAGCTTCAAGTGTGGCGGTGTGAATATCTGTCTCACATCTTTAGCTTTCCTTTTTCCTATGTAATATAGAATCAGTCTGTTCCCCTGCTATATATCATCAGTGGTCTGCAAAAGATCAGCGCTGCTTCATAATTCATATAGTTCTGCAGAGGTTGAACTCTTGTTTCTTTAGTTCATTTCATTCAAATCATCAAATGTGCAGTTCTTGTTACGAACTGCCTCAGTTGCAGACAAATTAACCCAATTTCAACGTTATTATTCGTTATTCGCTCTTTCAGAACTCTCGCATCTCTAAGCGGTTCGGTCCACATGGGCTTAACTGAATCGACCTGTGAATCGGATTGGACCAGATTGAATATTGTGCAATTCAATTTCAATTCTATCTGGAGTTTAAACACATTTTCTCTAGCTCTGGTCATTAGTGTTCCTTGATGTTGGTCCGGTTCTATCTCAATTTGGTATGATTTGGATTGAACCGGGCTGCTGCAGACCTCTAATCCTGACAATACGAGGAGAAAGAACAAGGGAAGGAATATTCTGTAGAGGAAACCAACAGGCAACAAGAGCACTCACTCTTAGTCTTATCTTCGTTGGCGGCAAAGCAGGGGAAAGGGAATATAAACGGTACCCAGAAAGGAATATTACCTGCCCGATTCCTCTGCCTCTTCAAACTACTTTCCTTCTTCACCGAATGGTCTGACAACTAACTAAAGACAACTGCACTTCTTCTCCTACCCAAATTCATGATTGCCGCCGCCGCCGCCGCCGCCACTGCCACTGCTTCTTCTCCTGCTACCAGCTTCGCCAGCCATTCATCGCCCTCTCAGAATCCGAAGCAATTCACAGCTCACCTGATGCACCGTACTGCAAATGGTCAGTGCAGAGTAGAAAATACAGAGAGTAGCCACCGTCCGCAGACGAATTAGAATTACTTCAGGGCTCAGGCACGTTCCCTCTCTCTCTCTGCTCTTCTATTGTCTATCTTATTGTTGTGATTGAATTGAAGTGAATTGTGGCGATATCAACATTCTTCTTTCGCAAAGGAAAAACAGAGTAACATATATTTCTTTCGTTGGAAACAAACATGTTTCGTTCACTATTTTCTCAAAGATGGTGTATTCGATTTCCCTCCGAATCCCAGCGAAGAATTTAGTTTTCTCTTGTCCTCTAAACGTACTAGTTGCTAAGTTGTGGCTTTTTTTTTATCTGCGGTCAGATGAAACAGGCTTTGAAGCTAACAGAGTGTAGAAAGCATTTCAGATATTGGTTGTGGAATCAATCTGATTAACCAAACGCTTCACAGATGTTCTTCCACCATCGAAAAGGAATACACAGTCGATTCACTCAGATAAACATATGCTTGATGCGTCCCACAAAATGATCAGATACATATAGTTGTTTCATTTAATTCTTTCACACAAAAATTCAGCAGTACATAACACAGGGAGTGTTCTGTCAATGTCTTCCACAAGTTTCAACTTTGCATGTACATTCCTCTGCTTTCCCATCTTGTACCTCTCTCGTCACTGTGTTTCAATTTATGTACACAAAGTGGAGGGCGTCGGAGCTTTACATCTGATCTCTGCATTCACTGATGGCTTGAAGCATCAGACCATAGCTCCATTCCATCACCTCTTCCCATTCCTTCTTCTCATCCTCTGTTTCCGGACTAACCACCCGATAAACTCACGAGTTGTCCAAGCAAAAACAACACAGGTTCCGGTTTTAAACCCCTCCTGCACAATATTAATGTATGAGTTACATTAAGATGATCGTTTGTTAATGAGTTGAAGAATGGAAACAGCAGAAGCTAGCCAAAGGTATAAACTTTACCTGGAAGGTTAAAAATATTTGGAAAGAGGGGTCTCATTTGGCTTGTCAAGCTCTGTTACGTGAGGGAAGATCCAACTTTGGCTGGTCTTAGGCTTCTATGAGCTTTCCTCATGGATTCAAATGCCAACACAAATAGACTGAGTAAATATACAAGGGACGCATATAGTCTCGTTGTAAAGATGCCAGATGATGTTGACCGGGATTCGGCTACCCGACCTTCTTTACTCTTTTTCCTATCTGCTGATTTCCTCCCCACCAACCACCCTGTTTGCCATAACCAAACCAAACTAACAGATTAGATTAATGTTTGTTGCTGTGGACTATGGATTCAGGAAAGTAGCCCTCTTAGATATCTCGGGACACAAGCAAACGCTTGAGTAGCTGAAAAATGTGAATTACCGGAGCGTTCCTGGACTATGTTTGTCCAGTCCTCGGGGCTGGTTCCTGCTTGTGAAGCCTTGATCAACTCAGCAAGAGCTTGGTTCACCTGAAAAGACAACATCTGGAAGGATCAAAATTACTATCAAACATGTTCGATTTCGCACAGTTTTGTGACCCTAATTTTGTTACTTACTCAAGCAAGTATATCTGCATGCATTAGGATGATATCAGTGATTTTAGCTTGACCAGTTTTGGTTCAAAAGATACAACCCTTCGTATGCTAATAGTATATCTCTTGATTTACAGATCTGCATTCCCTGGAAGAGCCAACTCTATTCGAAGAAATGTGAACATACCTCTTCAGTCCTCTCATGACTCACTAGATGGCCACCATGGAGATCAACCATCCTAGCAATTGGATGCAACTTCTCAGCGAGTCTCCTTGCGTAATATATTTGTGCGATGATGTCGTACCTATATCATTTATAGGTCCATGGATTAGTCTTTAAGCAGGTACACGTACGCTTAGTGTTTACATACTGACAAGTAGTTCTGCAAGCTGACCCACACATGAAAACCTAACCTTCAGAGTTCAGTGTTCACAAGCAATAGAAAATAGAACTTGCAGTAAAATCCAAGTCATCATATACCTACATCCTATATGCTAACAAAAATTCCACACAGTTGGGATAAAAGGCTTCAACTTAAATGAAGCAATGTAAACCGCATAGTATGATCTTCTTGTTATGTCTGAAGTCCTCAGTAGCTGAATTTCGTGTTTTAAGTAATCGTAGTTGCCATATGTTTATGATTATATGATTATCTCCTTTCCACTGGTACAACCTTGGAGCAGTTTGGTTGTAGGTAGGAACAAGCACATAAAACCCCATTGCTACCAGAGGTAGACAAAGAGGGAGAGCAGCAGAATAGGGTTAGAGAGAGAACGCCATTTCTCACCTGCCGTGAATGACTGATACGAGAAAACCACCACTCCGGATTGCTTCTACATCTGATTTTGTCACCTTATGTGTCCAACATGCGTTGATTTGACCATCAAACCCGTACTTCAACTGCATCCCAGTAGATGATATACCTTTAACATACTCCTGCGAAAAGCAGCATCACTTTTTAGATAAGGTAACATTTTTATGAGAATCACTACAGGTACCTTCAAGACCAGTTACGTGTTTATGTGCATCAATGTCTAATAGTAAGGTTATGAAAAATATTATTCTGGATCATGCAAGAAAGGTGCAGAAAATGTTGCTCTTCTTACTTGATACAGAATCTGTCGTCGAGTGGTGGAGCCAATGCATTCGTCCAGATATTCCTGCACACATCAGATTTTCCTTTTTCAGTTTCTAGGTGGCCATCCAGCAATCTGCATCTCTCGTGTAACAGAGAGGGAGAATTCAACTTGAGTTGTCGGTACAAAGTTCCGGCAGGGTTTCTTTCGTCCCATTACCTTGGTGTAATGGGTGTCCAGATCAACAGCAGCTCTTTGTTCTGGAGTCTTTGCCTTCAAGAATCGGATTGCTACCGACATTGTTCGGCGGTCAAGCTACATCATGTGAAAAGAAAGTTCACATCTTGCTACCCCCCTACAACTTCCTCAAATCCTTGAGCAACCTTATACGATATACAAGAGCCATGAAGCTAACATATCGCATCTATTCAACAGTTGCGCTTAAAATCGAACGTTGTTTACTGTTGGTTCAGTGTATTATTTGTAACATAATTAAGCATGCTCTAACAGCGGAGCTGACCATCGAAAGGTTTGAGCTGCTACGGCATCCATCATTTTCATTCAATTCTGAATGGACAAGTAAACTCCATTCACATTTCATGCACTAAAAGAGAAGAAATGTCAAAATTGTTGGCATGCAAATCATCACAAAAAATGTGTAGGATAAGACAAAAAAGGGGTTCACCACAGCCACACACGGTAGGCAAGTTAAAAGAATCATATGCCCCATCATCCCTATCAACAACCCCCAAAATCTGTTCCACCTCCAAGTGGCTTATTTTGTGAAAAAAGGAACAGAAACAGAGCATTCTTCAATGACCCACACGTACAAAAGAGATCTTATTGAATTTGACCGGATCTCAACCGCTCCTATTCACTTGACTTCTTCAAACCTTGATGCCAACGCCACAAAATTTGGACTTTGACCTTCTACAGCATTTGCCCCGAGGCTCAAAATGTGTCCTTTTATATTCCTGCGTTCCTAATTCTACAGACCAACTCTTCGAGCAAGCTAAGGCTGACTCCAATGCAGCCTGCATTTATGGAGTTCTCGCCATTAAAGGCGATTTTGGAGCTCCAACGCAGACCCGAAAAATGGCGAAAATCGGCATTTATGGAGGGCATCGGCATCTGGGTCGCTAAATATGGGGGAGGGAATGCCGAAGTCGGCATTTATGGGGAATGCCGAAGTTCTCGCCATTAAAGTCTTGTTTTTTGTTCGTTTGAAGATACTAAAGTGAACAACGCAAAAAGCAAAGACAAGAATATAACCCTCAAGAACAGCAGAGGACTGTAGCAACTAGCAAGGAAAACTTGGAATGAAGTATTCAAGCATGTGAATTTGACATTTCATGGTCATAACTGCACCGTCATAGCGACAAGTGATCTCATTGTTGCTTGATTAGATGACAAGAATTCTTCTTAGGGATAGGAAGTTGTACAATTAGAGTAGTCTCCTAGAACAGCTATTTTCTAACTGCCTCTTTTGACTTCAACGTGTACTTATATCAAAGTTCTCAGAGAATATTCAAACAGCAGAAGTCGTCTTCCTACTCTTAAGAAATGAAGAAAATTACTCGTTTTGCCATTCTCCACATCAACCAACAACAACAGGCTTGACATGGTTAGCAGGCCATGCCGACCAGCGTGTCACGTTTGGCAGTTCATACAGGCAACAAATAAAAGGTAGATCAACAGTGCAACAATCGGAACATTGGCATAAGGATACCTTTGGTAAGCATTCATATCCTCCACCGGTCGTGTTAAGCAATGCCAACGAAAGGACTCGCTTTGGCACCATTGCAGCCAATTTGCAAGATATCATAGCCCCTGTTTCATGTTGTTGATCATCATGAGAAACAGTGATTCCCACATACTGAAAGTCGCAGTAAGAAACAGTTTCCATTTTAACATAGTTGCAGGCTCAGCATCACTTTGGTATAGAGACATTTAGATCAAAGGTTGTGCAGTCACTACTTAAACCCAATTCTAATAATGTTCATCATAAACATCTCACCCATTGAGTGACCAAAGACGTGAGCTTTTTCCCAGCCTAGATGATCCATTAACGCAATAGCATCTTTCGCCATTATTGTCGTCCTGGGGAGGTGAAAATGAGCACAACAAAAGCAATCAGATGAGGGTCTTAATCAAACTTTGAACTCCTAAAGTCCTAATCATTCGTATGATGAGCTGTTAAATCATAATAACTATACAAGAAATGCTACCAACTAAAAAAACATTGCTGAACACGCTTCCATTTCCTTGAACTTTACTGGAACGGAAATCCCATATTATAAATTAGCAGTCTTTCATCCGTTTTCTACATCTTCTAAGCGATTGAAATTAGCCCAAATGGCGGAATCATATTAAAGCCATCATATTAAAAAATTGACTATAACCCCACCACTTAAAAAGTTCTAAATTATATATTAGAATGAAGAATTGCCAAAAAAGGAGAAATTGAATAAAAGGGTTGTGAACGAATGATTTCATATCGATATCATCAATGAAAATGACATGACGGAAAAGTCTGAACACACATTTCTGGTGCGGAAATTAGGCGCAGGAAGAAGAACTCTCACGTATATTGGCCTCGTTCAACGGGGATGGAGCTCTGACCCATTCCACGATTATCAAAAGCACAAACCTCAATACCATCGCCGTCGCCGGCAAGGTCAACCGGCTCCGTTTCGTTATTGGGGATGACAGTACCGGCGAGGCTCTTCATCTGAGGACCCCAGGAATCATGCGTCCCCGCCAATCCTAAATCGAATAAACCCCGCCTAAAATCCATCAGCGAGGATGAAAAAAACAAAGAGGGAAATATTGGGCGGCCAAGTCAATGACAAAAGAAAAAATACCAATGATGAGAAGAACTTTGGTTGGTCCGCGACCGTACGTCCTGTAAAAAATCTTGACGCCATTGTCGTCGGCGCCGGCGGGGGAGGGGGAATCCTGGCGATACTTGGAAATCTCACAGAAGGGCATGATGAACGATCCGGGTAACTCACCAACTGTGTTGAATTAAACAGAGCTGTAATCGCCGGCCGGAATCCCGGGAACAAGGGGGTAAAATTGGGATTTGGGGAATCCGGGAGGAGAGGAAGAAGAAGGGGCCGGAGGAAATGGGAGAAGGATCGAGGGAGAGGCGTCTTTTGGGTCTAATTGTCTGTATATGTAAGAAGAACAAAAAACAGAGAGAGAGAGAAGGGAAAGAACGAGGAAGAAGAGTTGAGACTTGAGAGGGTGAGGGCGGGGAGTGTGGACCAGAGAGATGGTGTGAAGAAGGCGTGGCGGACAAATCTGGCTGATGGTGAAACGGTGACGGTTTTGGCTTGTGTTTCATTCTTTACTTTAAGAACAGAAAATGGTAAATTAAGTTTTTATATACAAAATGTTGGAACCACCCTTAATCAAAGTCACAACTCTACAGTATACACATCTTTCAAACAATATTGAAACAACAATGTTTGATATTTTGGGAATTGAATTTGAATCATAGAGCCTTTTCTTATATCTCGTTATCAGGGACGAGATAATCACTACTAATAAAAGTCAATAGTAAAGAGGAGATTGCCGTATTAGTAGTTGGGTGTTTTGTGAGTCAATTTTGTAATGCAAGAGGAGATTCATTTTGTGTTTGAGATTGTGATTGACTAGTAGTGCTTGGGCTGACTTTTGCGAGTTATTTGGATAAATTATAGTGAGATATGTATTGATCTATGTGTGAAGAGAGTGTTGTAAGAATTATATAGAAGTGTAAGTTACTTTATTACTAATCTTTTACAACGGACTAACCTTGGAACGAATTTTTAGGTGTTGGTTGGAATTCTGGTAGTATTACCGATTTATCATGTGTAAAAAATAGACTATAATATTCGTTTGGTTGCTGTTTATAGACTTTGCATATTATCTTTGTTATTTTTTATTCAAAATTCAATTTAAAATTAAAATTTATATTCAAAATTTGGACCTCTATATAGTGATAGTGATCACCTTCTATCCTCCAAACAATATATAGAGGTTCTTCTTAGCAACCCATCTAATTTGTTTTTTCCCAGCTCCTGCGCAAAGCAAGGGAGGGTTATTTGGTCTTTTTATTGATCCGATAAACAGGCAATTTTGGTGGGCTTAAATCACCTAACTCATTTACTACAGAAAGGATTGGACTTCAATTGAAAAACTGGCATTGATTTTTAGTTGTTATGTTATGCTATATTTATATATTAATATTAGGGTATATACAATTTAATATCCAAATCTTTCATTTTAAACAATATAATAGCCAAACCTTTTTGAAAACAATCTAATATCCAAATCGTCAACTTTCTGTCCATTTGACCGTTAGTTGATACTTCAAAAAAGTTCGAAGTACGACACTTCATCAATATCCACCGATATCTTCTCTGAAAAACCACCAACATATCGTGGTTCCAAACTCGAAAAGTCCATGACTCCACCATGATGGTATAAAATATCTAAATATTCAGTCATATGCAATACCAAAACAAGAAAACAAAGTTGTATCGTGACAATTTCCCATAAACAAAGCTTTTTTGAAGTGTCAACTAACGGTCAAACGGACGGAAAATTGACGATTTGGATATTAGATTGTTTTCGAAAAGGTTTGACTATTATATTTTTAAAAATGAAAGGTTTGGATATTAAATTATATTTACCCTTAATATTATTAGCGATTGTGATTTTATTGCAGTGTTTGTGAAATTGTATCATATCGGTGGTTTGATTGTAAAAAACTCTAAAAGGAAATTAATCTGGTAAGTGGGTTTTAGCGCTATGAAATGATTGAACCACGTTAGCTATTTTGGTACAACCTTCAGTACAGTTTCGTAATCCTTTATTTACTGTATCCATCTAGGTAATTCATATTAGGTGTGTAATTCGAAAGCCCGCATAACCATTCGTTATTAGTTTTGAATGAATCATTTATCATTCAATTTAATTTTAATAATCAATTTTTGAGATAAAAATTAAATTAGTTATGCTCTAGAAAATTATATTCACTGGAATATTTTGGAAAAAAAATATATATGTCAATCGAGAGTCCTATAACATCATACAAAATAACATTATCTTTTTTATAATGGCGACCGAATTGCATTAAACAGGGAAAAACATGAACAACAATACACTGTCCGATCTATATTATTTACATTTCATAAATTAACTCACATAAGATAGAGTTGAAGAGAATTTTCAATGAAGAAGAAAATATGTTCTTTATATAAAATAAAATGGTACCTGTTGGAGAATTTCCAACACTCCTATGGGTAATTCATTAAGTTTTCAATTTATAGGTTATCAAAATTTGTTAGGACTAGGTAGCTTACAGTGTTAGAAAGAGAAAATAAATATAAAAAAAATGATAATGACTAATGACGTAAATTCTGCTTTGTGAAAATGATGTTTCATATTTCAAACATTTTACCATTAAAAATTGGCTTTCAATGAAATGTTTAAAAAGAAGGAAGAGCTATTGTGAAGATAAATGTTTCATTAAGGAAGACAAAATCATTGATACTGGTGGAGATGATGATTTTTTTTAATGGTAAAGCGATCACCAAGAAATCGAAAATAAAATTTGCACTTATTCTTGACAACGAGGTGCAAATAGTGTGGTTTGATTAAGTTTTCTAGAGCCGATTCCATTGCATGAATTTTGTTGTTTAGTTTGGGTAAGGACTTTTGTTAGTGAATCTATTGGCACATCGAAAAATTCAACGAGTATGGTACTTTTTTATATTTTTAATAATTAAATAATTTGAATTTTTATGGTATCAATTAAAACATGTCTTATTTGGGATAATTATTGATGTTTTTTACTTAGTGTAAGGAACTTTATTAATAAATATGTTAGCACGTCAAAATTTTTTACGAGTATAGTACTTTTTCATATTTCCATTAATTAAATAATTTTAAATTTTTTATGGTAAGAAATAAAAAATGTCTTACTTCAGACCACAGTTAGTAAAATACGGTAAGGAAAAGTTACGTATAAAATACATATGGGTGTTTTACTTCATCTCTAAGCTAATATTACATTCAATAGTACGTCAATAGTCATATATATAATTAATTATTTTAAGAAGTTAAAAATATATAAATGATAGAAAAATTAGCAATTTAATTCATTAAATACATATATTAAATATGTATATGGGTTTTATACGTATTTAGTACGGGAGCCATCAAATAAACGGAAAAAATGAAACGACTTCACAATAGTACGGATACAGAAGTTTTAAACAAATAAAATATATACAGGTACATATACGTGTATTTTACTAACTATGTTTCAGACAATTGCTATTATTATGCGTATCATTGATGGAATTCATCCACCTAACGGTCGGGCTCAGATCTACTAGTCAATTTAAGAGAGACCAACTCGAGTTAAACTTAAATCTTGAAACTTTTTACCTCTTCACACTTTGGGCATAGCTTGGAGAAACAAATACTTGGGCAAAGGGTTCGGATGCGACCCAACCGCTTACTTTTCCAGTCACTTGCTTGCTCGGTTGCTCCCTCCCCTGCCCCAGATAGGGAAAAACCCTCTGCTTTCCGCTCTTGCGCGAACCATCTACTCTGGCCGCCGCTCGCTCCATAGGTGAACGGTTTATCTCTCTTTGCTTTCCCTTTTCCCCTATGATTTGTTTCAGTCGGTCTTCGTACGCTATCTTCTGGGCTCTGGTTCTGTAGTTATTCTTCAGGCTGTTTCCATCCTTCTCCCTTTATTCCCCATTCTAATTTTACCGTAACTCTTTTGGGTTCTGTTTAAAGGCAGGAACTTTTCAATCCGATATCTAGAAATGGAGGCTTGCGCCGGAACTGCAGTTATGGGTTCTCTACAACAGCCCAATTGGAGCAAAGGAACAGCTTTCGCTCCCAAGAAGCCTACTTTTGTTCTCTTCCCGCGCCAGGTTAAGCTCCAGTCATTGAAACCCTGTAAAGCGTCTCTCGAAGGCAGCTTGGTGACTGGCAGGCCCCCCTCATCCGTTTCTGTGCCGATTCCAGAAGCTGAAGGTTCGAAACTTTATCTAAAGACTCTCAAACACGAACTAGAAGGAAATGATTTAGCGTTAGTGGCAATTTTGGTTTTACGTAGGCGATACAAGTGGCTTCCAGGACCATGCACTTAATGATGCTGATCCAGAGGTTCATGATATTATCAGAAAGGAAAAAGACAGGCAGTTCAAAAGCCTTGAGCTCATTGCCTCCGAGAATTTTACATCTCGGGCAGTTATGGAGGCTGTTGGTTCTTGTCTGACTAACAAGTATTCTGAAGGTCTACCTGGTAAAAGGTAAAAGCTTAACTCGGTTTGTGGCTCAAAATCTCTACCTTTTGTACCCCCTTTTGTGCCTGAAGCTCTTTCCCTGGATGTGTTTCAGATACTATGGTGGAAATGAACATATTGATGAGCTTGAAACTCTATGTCAACAAAGAGCTTTGGCCGCTTTTCACTTGGATGGAAACAAATGGGGTGTTAACGTGCAACCATTGTCTGGTTCTCCTGCTAATTTTGAGGTTTACACTGCAATTCTTAAACCGCACGACCGAATCATGGTAACCTGTCTAGTAGCTCTATCTTCTGAATGCTATGCTGTTAGCTGTTAAGCTTTCGGTCTTATGGATTGCACACTCATATTTTTTCCATTCAGGGTTTGGATTTGCCACATGGAGGACATTTGTCTCATGGATTAATGACTCCTAAAAGACGGGTGTCTGGCACTTCAATATACTTTGAGTCTATGCCCTACCGCCTTGATGAGTCCACAGGTAAGGCATCTAAAAATACTAACTTCGAACCTGAAGATATTGTTCTGTATATTGTCTTACTTATCTAATTCTGCGTGAACATTTGATCCAGGTCTTGTTGATTATGATATGCTTGAAAAGACTGCTACTCTGTTTCGACCAAAACTTATCATCGCTGGTGCCAGTGCCTATCCCCGCGATTTTGATTATCCTCACATGAGGAAAGTAAGTTTGTTTTTATTTTTCTGCACACTACATTCCCCTTTGCCTTGAGTTGCAATAAGGAAGTTGATTAATGATATCTTTTTAATTCCAAAAGATAGCAGATTCTGTTGGTGCTTTCCTCATGATGGATATGGCTCACATAAGTGGGCTAGTCGCTGCCTCTGTGGTTGGTGATCCCTTTGACTACTGTGATGTTGTGACAACAACAACACACAAGGTAAACTCTCTTGACAATCTTAATAATTCAATTTTATAGTTTATACATTAAAGTCAGTCTTGGTAGTTTTATTGTTTAGTTTGAAGTAGCTCAGTTGAATGCAAGTGCCTAACAACCCTGCATTTGTTTTCCTTCAGTCTCTACGAGGTCCAAGAGGTGGCATGATTTTCTTTAGGAAGGACCCTGTTCTCGGTGTTGACTTAGAATCTGCCATTAACAATGCTGTTTTCCCTGGATTACAGGTAAGCAAAACCCCAACACACAGGAGTATTCTCTTTAGGGTTTCCAAGCCATTCTCTCACTGGGTTGTTTTGCTTTCTACAGGGTGGTCCTCATAATCATACTATTGGAGGCCTAGCTGTTTGCTTAAAGCATGCTCAATCCCCTGCATTTAAAACTTACCAGAAGCAGGTAGTACAAATTTGTGGACACCGTTGGCATGTGAAGAATCAAGAATTCCAGTATCATCTCATTCGTTTATGTCTGTCACGTAGGTCATTTCCAATTGTAGGGCGCTAGCAAAGCGCCTGGGCGAATTGGGATATAGGCTTGTTTCTGGTGGGAGTGATAATCACCTTGTTTTGGTAGACCTGAGGCCAATGGTAAGTTTCTTGCTTCTTGCAAACTGGTCTACTCTTGATGCCCGAGGTTTGAGCTCCCAAACAGTCTCTTAGATTTACATCCATTAACAGGGAATTGATGGAGCTCGAGTGGAGAAAATCCTGGACTTGGCTTCCATCACTCTCAACAAGAACTCTGTCCCGGGTGATAAAAGTGCCTTGGTCCCTGGTGGAATTCGCATTGGTTCGCCAGCCATGACTACCAGAGGGTTCAAGCAGAGCGAATTTATGGCAACAGCCGAGTTGATTCACGAAGGGGTGCAAATATCACTGGAAGCTAAATCGTTAGCTTCAGGGCCAAAGCTGCAGGACTTCTTGAAGTTCGTTGCATCGCCGGAGTTCCCTCTACAAGATAAATTGTCGGAACTCAAGAAGCGGGTCGAAGGGCTGGCAACCCAGTTCCCCATCCCCGGGGTATGAGCGACGAGGATGAAGGCTTGGTTGGGTGGGACATGGGATGGGTTAGGTTTAGATGATGCAGAGTTTAGGTGGCAAGTCTATCAATGGAGAGCTACTCTGAGAACGAATATGGTAACTGGTGAAAGAGAATATTGCTGTTATCTAAAATGGCAAACTTTTGCAGCTAGTATGTGTTTAAATTTAACACACATGGCCTGTAATAGCACACCCTGTATCTCTCAGACTGAGGGATAGTATGTTTGAGTAGATCTTAGCTAGGTTTGGTTTCATTTCTGGTTCTGCTTTTACAACTTCGTTATGATTAGGGAAAGCTGGAGCTATGTTTGGCTTGGACAGATAAGTATCAGCAAAAAATCAAGAGGGAAAAGACTACTCAAGTCTTTAGTCTGGTTTTTCTCTTCTGCCTGCTGCAGAACTAACAGAATGGCGGCTCTGACTTTTTTTCTTCTTTTTCAGTGGATTGGCAGCTCGACTTTAGAACACAAGGAAATTTAGTCACAACTTTTCATTTATGACGACAATGCTACGAACCAGGGCAGAATTAACAATTTCACATCACTAAGCATGTCATATTCAAGCATTATGCCTGCCATTCAACGTTCCATTTTTATACATATGTTCTCACTAGTTCTACAAGTCCTGTTTGATGCACTCAAAATTAGAAGTTTTCTTTTATACATTCACGTCACGTGGAGAGTTATCTGGAGCAAAATTGGGAACATTCCATAAACTACAGTACACCAGGAGATCTCATGTTCACATCTACAACATAACTATCGCTTCCTTCCCATGCAAACCTGGGCATGGCAGGCAGCCATGACAAGTGAAAACACCCAAATTCAGACGAAAAGAAACAAGTTGCGAGTTAAGCCACGCAATACACAATACTCGTCTCTCACTCTGATTACACAAATCAACTTGTTACTGAATGGATTAGCTGATTTAGGTACAAACAGCTCCAGCTACCAATCCAATACCATGTTGTATAGCTCTAGCTCCCATTTCTGGCAGTCAACGGAAATCCAAACAGCCCGGCTTAAATAAGGTCCATCTTCTTGTGCTGGGGGGAAAAATCGAAATGATAAGCAAATGAACAAGAGTTGACTTGTGCACGTCATACACGAATGGAGAAGCGTGATACAAGGAGTCGGGACACTCACTACTAAGCCTAGTCACAATTGTCATAGGAATTCTAAACACCACAAGGGAAGGTTAAACAGGGAAATGAACTACAGAACCAGGATTCGAAAAAGGAAGTGCCCTGAAAAAACAGGGAACCTAAGGTACCTGTTCATGGTAGCTGGTACATCTTCACGTCGTTCACTTTCATTTGGTCTTGCTGTCTCAAGAACTGATCCACCAGGATCCTATAACAAATGGTTATGCCAAATTTTAAGGAATCAGCACTAAAAGACATGTAAAAACAGTTTGCTACCTAAAACTTCCATTTGTCTTTTCCTGATTATGCAGTTGCTTATGTGTGCATCAAAGGTAACAAATGACAAGAGATGGAAAGCAACCACAGAATTCTCATTAACCTTGGACGATGGTGGTTCAGCAGGGCTGAAAGTCACATTATTCGATGAAGCTGCTTCCACTGGTAAGAGCATATATGAAAAAAGAAACGTTCAGTAACAAATTAGACCAGTCTATAACAGTATCATCTTAAGAAATCGGGCTTCCTTTATTCTCTTGTACCACTATAAATTAGCCCAACCTTAACAAGCTCATTTGTCCATTATATAAAGCCAGGAACTTTTTCCTTTGCCATGGGGACAAAGAAATGCTTGGAAGACCAAGAAGCAGCCGAGATGTGTTGTTTCACCAGATGATTTGAGCAACAAAGAATATGCGTTGTATTTTTAGAAAATGGACAGACAAAGTGAAGTAGCTGTTCTGCGTGACTTGTAGTTCAATCCAACAAAACAACTAAGAGCAGACTGTTGGTCTCATAAAAACCAATTGACAGAAAGCTGGTTGGTACGGGAGACTACTCTAAGGAAAATATAACTTTAAAATTTACCTATTCCATATTTAGCAGCTACCGAAAACGTAGCGATACATACAACAAAATTCACCTATCAAGAAAGAGCTGTGGGGATGGTTGCAGTACGCAAATCTGCAACAAAGAGGGAGTCCACACAAGGCAAATTCTCCCTCAACTGACTCTTAAGGACTGCTTCATAACCATTGAGATGCACATATATACTACAACAAAGATCCTAACAATTTGGTGTATGCCATATAGTTTGACAATGATCCTGTAGTCGCACAACTTGCAATTACATCTAGAGATACATGATATGATTGAATAAACATGGTAGAATAAATACATTAACGAACCAGCTATCAAGCACTGAAATGATCATACTGAAGTCAGTTTTACCACGGAAGTCAGTTTTACCACGGAGAGTGCTATAGATTCAATGAACACCTCAATCCTCATATTCTCAGCCTGAAGAGGATATTGAAATTGGAAAATATGGCCGAGAGATGTAGGGTTGCTGTGACTACATTTGCTTCAAGACCGTTCTCAGTAGAGAGTACCATTCGAAGATTTATCAACATTAGGGAAGGACACTATCACCAGGTCCCCCATCCACCAAGCTCCTGCAATCACTGTGCATCAAATCATTAATTTACATAAACTCGTTAATCTCGTTAGTACATGGTTATGCATCGACTCATTTAGTAAGCACAACCTCATTCATTCATGTTGGTCAGTAAGTTGACTGGCGATAGTGTCGACTGCCTTAAACTCCACCATCACCTGAATCCCATGGGGAATAACAGCTTAAGCGAGTCTCTGAGCCGGTGAGTTTCGCATTTGGAGGCAAAGCTTCCCTTCCCTATAATCCTGCTCCACATATAGTAAACCAAAAACATACAAGCTGGTAGCAAAACTAAACACAGGCAGGGCACCCAGTTTCAAAACAGAGCGATTTTGCTTTGACTATTAGGAACTTCAGCTTGTGATCTGTTTATATATGTGTTTGTGTCTAGTGCTTAGACCGAAGAAATGAAGTGGCTTCAATCTTCATTACCCTGCTAACCTCTTAATCCATTTTCATCAGCAAGATAGATAATAGAACGAACAAACAAACTGCAGGATTAGTGCACCAAGTCAGCTTCATTGACTGTATATATAAGAGACATGCACTCTACTAGGGTAGTCCTATGCACTATTACTTAGAAGAAGAGAAATGGCTTCAACTACAGGACATGTAAACCAAGCCTGAAGGGTCGTTGACTGTTGTTGTCATCAAGAGAAAATGTCCTCTGCTAAACACTTAAAATCACGGATAGCCATTGTAATTCCTTTGAGAAGGGTTCCCAGTACGATCAAGACGATGAAAGTAGATCAAAAGAAAATCAGGACAGCTTCCAGTCCTATCAACAATCTCGCTAATGCATCGTGCCTGCTTTAGCATCAATAAAAACTTGTTCACAATCAAACTTGGCCACCCTAATTGGCCCGCTTCCACAGTTAAAATCATTTCAAAGTTGTTCAGTTTAGAATTAAAACCCTTCGACAACTCATAACCTGAAAAGCAGTTCACCTTCTACATTCATTGATATGAGGACAATAACAAACTATAATAGTGATCACCACCTAGCAGCACACTATTAGATTAGTCATCATACCTAACAGCAACCTACATAAGACCAGTCATCATCACCTCAGAAAAAAACTCCTTAATACTCTCTCCCTGTTCCTCTCTTACAACATTCTGCCTTCAATTCCCCGGATCATTCAGCAATTCGTCCACATCAATCAAAAATCTCTCTCCAAGAAGAGCTCCCTCGTCTAGACCCTCGAATGGATCTTCTTCAGCATTCACAACTGGAACTCCTACAACGTTGGCTGCACTAATCCCTCCACCAACTTGTTCCACGTGCTGCTCACCATTCCCCCCACCAGGTTGTTCCGGGTGCTGCTCCCTTGGAGGTTCCAGGTGCTGCTCCTCCCTTGGAGGCTCCTCCATTTGAAGTTCCGGATGTTGCTCGTCCTTTTGGAACTCCATATTCTGCTCAGTTGTTGCACGTGGACTGCTGCGGGAGCGGCTTCTGCGACCACCACGAGACGGGCTGAGGGAGAGGTCAGCACTAGCACGACTGCGTGAGCGACCACGGGAGCGATCTGTGCTCAACGACTCATCAAGAGGGCGGGCACTTTGCGGCCCCTTTGTCAACTCTAAAGAGGACTTTCGAAGTCTATCAAGGGAAAGAAGGTCCAGACGCTCATTCAGTCCCTCGCTTAAAGAGAGCAGCTGCTGGGAAAGTGCCCATTTCTGGATGTCAAAGGCCGCAATATCGTGATTAACTTCATTCTCATCGAGGCGGACTTGGAGACCGAGCATAGAAAGCTTCCTCACATTGTCGATGTGATCTTCCTCCTCAACATCATCAGCATCATCTGTGCTATATTCAAGTTCGCTAACTTTCTTGGTCTGTGCTCCCTTCTTATCCGTGCAAATTTTTAACTGCGACAGATTGTTGGATAGGTTGTCCAATTTCTCAAAGAGGATGTCCTCTTGCTCACGGAATTTCTGGAACTCCTCCTCGATGAAAGGTGAGAGGGGGCATCTGGTTGTACTGGCCACATTACCTTGACTAGAAGCAACTTCAGATACCGGATTAAGCTCCTCCAGCGGTTGAGTAACCGGAACATTAAGGCGGCGGCCACTTAGTATCCCCCGAAGGGTTGGTGACGGCGTTGAGAGTTTGTTGGCCGCAAAGTTCTTCACCTCTGAAACCACAAAGTTCTTGAAGGAGATAAGCTCTGAGCAGAAACTTTGCTTCTGACAGTCAAAGGTGGAAATATAATAATTGACTTCATCCTCAAGATATATGATATCCGAATCTAAACTCAAGATCTCCGCCTGCAGCGCTTCTATCGATTCTGTCCTCGATTGATCCTGAGACGCACCTTGCTCAGCTTCGTATTGGTTCAATACATCGACACGTGTTTTCTTATTCTTGACAAGGTCCTTCAAGTCCTCCAGCTTCCGGTGAATGTCGTTCAGTGTTTGAAACGCCATATCCGCTTTCGCTCGGAACGAACCACGGGAACGTTCGGGCACATATGTGCTGGTATCCGCCATAATTTTAGTCTAACAAACAGAAAGGGAAGAGAGTCAGGGGACTAATGGATGAAATTAGTGGAATTACAGCAAGGAATCGACAATGGGACTTACCGGAGCAGAAGAGCTCGAGGATGGGTAAGGCGGCTAGTGACTGAGACGGGAAATCTTACGTCGAAAGAGGCGAACAAACCCTAGTCAAACGCAAGGAATCCTTTTCATCGGGGCCGTTTGGTTGCTACTTGCTAGTGCTAGTAAAAATATTTCCCCCAAATCCTAGTTAACAGGAATGGCCCGGGTAAATTGCAAGTTTGGCCACTGAAATTACTAAA